GAAATATATATGCATTTATCTTTTATCTGTATGCTCATATATATACACACACATGCATATGAGGAGGCGTCAAGTAGTTCATGGAAAAATTCCATTATCTTTTCACTCCAATTTTCCATGAACTTTTGAAGCTCTCATATGTATGTACATGTGGTGTGTTTCTGTGTATGTGTGTAGAATTAAACCCTGGTTTCTTTCTCTTGTCTATACCTCCCTTACCTAAAGTTTAATATGCCAGCTTTGTCAAAACTAATTTTATATATGTATAAAGAAAGTTGAATTTACTAACAATAATGCTCACAATATTAATAAAGCTAGATGGTAAACATTCAAAGAGAGTGCTGTGGGCTTAAGCTTTCAAGCTATTCTGCTCTTGGGGTCATAACTGCAGAGCAATGGTAATGATATGGTTTCCATAGCAACTGATTCATTGGAGGGCTAGACCTCTGTCTAGGGTGCTGTCAGTGTATGTAGAGTTTCAGTGAACAGAAAGTCCCAAAGAAGGGTCTGCTTCTACCTAATCCAGTTTTAATTGAACTCTAGAGACTTTGAAGTGAAGCCTCGGACCAGGCATATACTATTCCAATAAGAAATGAACCTCTTGCTTAGCTAGACCTCAGCTGCTTCTCAGTACTGACACCTTTTCCTAATGAATACTTTAAAGAAGTGTTATATCCATTTTAGCAAATAATTCTGTTAAGTTAAGGGATTCTTCATTTTATTTCAAACTCCAACTAACTCATCCATAAATGTAGAATTTCATTTGTTAATTTTTTCTTTCTTTAAAAAAAAAATCAGACTTGTTAATCTTAGTAAAATTTTACTTTTTGATTCCTTTGGCAATATCAAATAATGTTCTCTTTCCTCCAATTTCTCCTTTTACGGGTTTTAAATTTTTACTGGACCTGATTTTATTTAATACTGAAAACACTAATATTTTTTCAGTATCTTTCTGTTTACATCAATTTTGAAAACATACAACAAGACAATGTTAGGTATCATTAGGGTATAAATGTACTAACAGAAAAAAATTTACATGGGAATTATGTACCCCAAAAATAAGGATAGTAATTTGCTCCGAGGAATAAGGAAAATGGGATCAGGAAGGATAATATATGAGAGTTTCAACACTTTAATGTTCTTTTAATTTCTTAAATACAGGCAATAGTATATAGCAAATGGTAGTATTTGATAATGTTTAATAGTGGATACATGGACTTCGTTTCTGTACTTTTGAATATGCTTTACATTTGTTAATAAAACAAATTTTAAAGGAACATCCTCCTTCCTGTCTTTCAAGTAGACTTTTGAATAACCATACTGCTTAAATAAATGGGATATAAATTGAATTTTCTAAAACCACAGAATTATGTTAAAAATCTTATAAAAGTTGTTTTAGAAATCTTTTTTCAATTTGTAGTGGGATAACTTAGAATTTATTTAAATATTTAGTTAAATGACAATGATCTTGCATTTATAAGCAACAAGTTGTTTTATATAGTTCTATAACGTAATGGTTATGAATCAGGCTGCTAATCTCAAGATCTGTGGTTCAAAACTACCAGCTGTTCCGCAGGAGAAAGATGAGGCTTTCTGCTCCCATAAAGATTTACAGCCTCAAAAACCCTGTGCAGGGTCACTATGAGTCGGAACTGACTCCACGGTACTTAACAACAACAACAACAACAACTATAGATATAAAAGGTCGAATTTATAGGCCAGTGTGTGATAATCTTAATAGATCAGAGGACTAAAAATCCCACTGTTGATGTTTTGTTTTTTCTCTTTCACCTATAACCCAAGTGTAGGAAAACAAGTGTTGTTGATTAAAATTTATGATGCGTTGGATTTTTGTTTAACAAATATTAATCCATTTTAAAAATGTAGTAATGCAACATATAATGGAAGCTTCAGATTTGTGTATTAGGATATCTGAGAGTAGCTGAGACACTGCTATTAATAACTTGTCAAGGAATTTTGCATCAATTTCTCAACTAGTCTGTGCCTAATTTTCTTAACCAGTTATTGGATAAATTAGATTTTATGTTACAGAATATGTACAGCATTCTCTAACGTTTGAAGAATCCAGGTGGGCAAGTTTAAATGCTGATGAAATGAGTGAGTGAGAGAGTGAAATGGAGACTGTACCAAAATGGAGAGTGCATGCCAGTTGTTACCATGTGACATACACACCCAGATTTGCTGAAGTATACTTCAGCTTTTCCTGATATTTTTGTAAATACATATGTATGTATTTATGTAAATAACATGAATGTTTATTTAAATGTCCATTTCCCCAAGTATTTTCAACTAATTCAAATTCTATCAAAGCATCTTATAAACAAATGAGATTCATTTGGATCATACATATATAGAACTTAACATTTGTTAACTCATTTAATCACTCAAAGAATATCTTTGTGCCAAACATTGTTCTTTCTTTGTTGGTGGTCTAGGCAATGAAAATAGAGTGGACTTAATAACTTTGTTCTGGTGGTATGGTGCTGTAGGATGAGCACTTGACTGCAAGGTTGCTTTGAACTGCAAGGTCGGCAGTTCAAAATCACTTCATGGAAAGCCTATATGGTGGTGTTATGAGTCGAAACTGGGTCAACAACACTTAACAACAACTACTACTTAGAATCCACTTTTCTAATGATGAATAGAGGGACCAGACAAGTAAGCCAATATTGTTTTTTCAGCTCATGGTTAGTATTATGAAGAAAATCTGCTAAGAGTTTTGAGTAGGATGACTCGGAAGTAGAGGAAATAGGGTTTCGATGATGTGGCTTTGCTGAGGTGGGAATATAATCAGTAGAAATCTAAATGGTGAGATATAGTAATCCAAATGTTAAGTATGTGGGAGAAGAATTATCCAGGTACAGGGAATAATAAATACTTGTATAAAATCCCAGAGGAGGAAAAGAGTTTGTCTTGTTGTTAAGTGCCGTCGAGCCGATTCTGACCCATAGCAACCCTGTATAGGGTTTCCAAGGAACAGCTTGTGAGCTTAAACCACTGACCTTACAGTTCAGATGACTTTGCAGTCTGATACATTAGCCCACAGCGCCATACCAGGACTCCCCTTATCTCGTTGTTGTTAAGTGCTGTTGAGTCATTTCTGATGCATAGAGACCTTGTATAGGGTTTCTGAGGAGCAGCTGGTGAGCTTGAACTGCTGAGCTTGCAGTTCAAACTGCTTTGCAGTGTGGTGTATGAACTCACAGCGCCACACCAGGACTCCCCTTGTCTCTTCGATGGTCTCAAATATAAGATGTTCCAAATTATGAAGAATTTGGAATTTATTATGAGTACGTGAAGCCACTGGATGGTGTTAAATACAAGACTGATGTGATTTCATTTATCCTTTTTTTTTTTTCTCTTTTGCTCCTTGGGACAAATTAAACTCTAGAAGAGGAGTAGTAGGGAGACCAAGTAGGAGGTTATTGCAGATTCTGAAGTGTTGAACTGGTGGTTGAATTGGTTGTGATGAGAGAAAGACTACCTGTACTTTCAGCGAAATTCTTGAGAATAATATTCATAGTTTTGTCTCTTCTTTTCCTTTTAATTTCTCTTGATATTCATTATGTAAATATGTGTGACTTAGTTAGGATTTCTCTCACCAGTTTTCAAAGTTGAAAACAAGTGTTTTCATGTCTGATCCTTTGAGGGTTTTTGTTGTTGTTTTTTTTTAGTTCTTTTTTTTTCCTTAAGAAAAACAACCATGAGACTTAGTTATACTCATTCTTTTAATTTCTGCATTCCTGTATTGCTAGACATAGAATTGATTTTTCTTAAAATCAAAATTAGTGACTTTGTACTTACTGAATTAAATAAGAGATTTTAATAAGAAAGAATGTATTTGAATTGAGGAATGTAGATTTGTTTGTATTTAAGCTTGGAAAGGAGGAAAAGTAAAGAACAGTCTAAAATTTACGTAGGATGAATTATTGCTATTCATTATTTTTCTTTTCTTTGATCCTGATCTTTATGACTATAGTGTACTATAATAATCAAATGTAGTTTCATTTGTATTTTTAATGGTCTTTACTTTTGAGAAATATAACTTAAGTTTTAGCTTACATTACCTTCAAGGAGTTCTTTGCAGATACTGACATCACATGTATCCTATTTTCTTTGCAAATATTCTTGAAAGTACTGGTGTAGAGAAATTCTTAATCTGATTTTCCTTTGAACACTTTCATAATTAAGCTTTTGAAATGAATTTTCTAAAAACAAAACAAAACTTGGATAACAAAGCAATAAAGAAGCTTAGGACTAAAGACAGGATTACTTTGAATTGGCAAAGCATTCTAAGCATCTGTGTCTGTCACATGGGATGACAAGAATTGTAACAAGTTACTCTGACAACCACCTACTCCTTAGAGAGATTATGCTGAGTTCATTTGCAGGTTTGTGTTTAGCCTTAGCTGACAAAATGATACTTAACCTCTTACGCAGTCAGCCTTTGTGCTTTCTGAATGAGTGACTGTTGCTTCAACAGTGACCTTAAAAGTATGATATAGTTTTGGTAGTTAAGAATTTATAATTTTTTTAAGTAAGCAAAGCATACTTCTGGGTGCATTCCGGGCATATTATTTGAAAGTAAACTACATTATGTGATTTATAAGCATGTATGGCATTCTCTTGAGGTCTTCCTTGTTTTTAAGATTTTACCTGTATATGAAATCTGTGAATCAAGAATGCAATAAGTATTTTCAAAAAAGAAAGTATAGATTTGTCATTGACTTAAAAACTCCACATACATATTTTAAATTATTGTTTTATAATTTTATTCTGCTTTTAAATTTACATTTTCCTCCCACTAATACTGCAAACCATTTTAAGTCTCTATCAATTAGTTTAAGAACTATTATTTAATTCTTGTTCATAAAATTTATTTTTATTAATATGATTTTCCTTGTTTTAATTGGGGGGTAGGGGAACAAAAACAATTCTAGTATTTTGTAACTTACTTGAGATTATTTTTTCCTCACTAGATCCTGGCATACACAGAAGGGCTGCATGGAAAATGGCTGTTCACAGAGATACGGTCAATCTTTTCTCGTCGTTATCTTTTGCAAAACACAGCCCTGGAGATTTTTATGGCAAACAGAGGTATTATGCTGTAGAAAGCACCTTGTTGCAGTTAACCTTCCTCTTTTTAAGATTTCAGTTTTGAGTATGCCTTATTGCTTCCATTTAGATAGTATTTTGTAATATTTATGTTTTAGGTATTTCATGAAAGATTAATTACTTTTTTACCTAACACTTGTTGGTAATACCAATGTTATAAAGCTATACCAATCTTGGTAAATTTGGGGTGTTCTTTGTCCTTAATTAGTTTTTCAGGCAAGGTAAAGCAGAAAGGTCTCTTTCAGTGAGCATTTGTAGCTTATATGAGGGTCCTTCAAAAAATTTGGGGAAAAATGAGATTTAAAGGATAATGGAATTTTTCACAAACTTGTAAAAAAAAGCCCACTTATATAACATTGTAATTAAAAATTTAAGAATGACAAAATCAGTATTTTCTGATAGCGATGACTTCATGATTTTGCTATTTTCATATTTTTAAAATCTTCCACTACCTTGATCGTTCCTTTACTAACCTCCCTTTTGTTGTGTATTGCCTGCCCTGTCAACTATCTTAACATGTACCTACTCTCTAGCCCATGAATAATTCTCCACTCTCCAGCTAGCATAGATTGTTTCTTTTATCAAGAACACATTTTTTTAACCTTTTTAAAACGTTGGTCTCATGTAGTATTTATTCTTTTATGATTGACTAATTTCACTCAGCATAATGTCATACCGGTTCAATCATGTGAGGTGTCTGAGGTTCATTATAATGCTTTAACATTTTGTAGTATTCCACTGTGTGATTTATCAAAGATTGTTTAATATTCTTCTGTTGATGGGCATTTTGAAAACTTTCTTCATCTTTTTGGTATGTTTCTTTTAGACAGCATATTGAGGAATCCTGTTTTTTCACCCATTATCTTTTTTATGCTTCTTAACTGGTACATGTAATCCATTTGCATTCAGTGTAATTGTCAGTAGGTATGAATTGATTGTTATCATTTTTTGTGTGGTTTGTGTGTGTGTGTGTGTGTGGAGCTACTAGATTCATTGTTCCACATAATTTTTCATGTTGTTTTTCTTTTTGTTTGAGGGTTTTCTTGTCATTTTCATTTTTGATGCATTGGTGGTGGTGCTGGTGGTTATGTGTCGTGGAGTTGGTTCTGACTCATAGTGACCCTGTCTGTATAAGGTTGATTTTTAAGGCTGTAAATCTTTATGGGAGCAGAAAACCTCATCTTTTCGCTCACAGAATGGCTGGGAGTTTCAAACTCCTGACCTTGAGGTTAAAAGCCCAACTTGTAACCACTGCACTACCAGAGCTCCTTTTATTTTGATATGCTGGTGTATTGTTTTTCTTTGTGTTTACCTTGTAATTTTATTGGTCTCCTGCTTAAAACAGTCTTTTTTATCTTGAAATCTACTTGACTTACTTGCCATTTGGAAGTTCTGTATCTACAGTAATCCCTCTTTTGGCTTTGTAGTTGACTTCATTATGCATTGATATCTATGGTTCCCTACTTTCTATCTTGTACGTTAGATTTTTACTTTAAATGCTTCTATATTTGCATGTCATGAATGGTAATCACAGGTTGTTGTCTGCTGTTGTTGGTTCTCAATCCAAAGAACACCCGTTAGTATATTTTGCAAAGCTGGTCTGGTCATTACAAATTTCTTTGATTTCTTATTATCAGTAAATGTCTTAATGTCACCATCTTCTTTGAGGAATAACTTTGCTGGGTATATGATTCTTGGTTGGCAATCTTTTTCTTTCAGAGTTTTCATATATGTCATTCCCGTGCTTTTCATAGAGGTCAAACCAGGCTTACCTGCCTGGTTTCTGCTGAGAAACCAGAGCTTAGTCTTATTGGTTCTCCTTGGTAGGTAACTTTTCATTTTTCTAGAGTTGGTCTCAGGATTCTTTCCTGTGCTTGATTTTGGAAAGTTTGATTATGATAATTCTTGGGGATATTGTTTTGGGATCTATCTTGTTTAGGGTTCATTCAGCTTCTTGTATTCTTATCTGCCTGTCTTTCGTGATGTTAGGGACGTTTTTCCAACAACTCTTTGTGCTTGTCTCCATTTGTTCTAGAATTCCAATCACCCGTAAATTGTTTCCCATCATGGTATCCCACATAACGCTTAGGCTTTCTTTGGATTCTTTTTTTTTTTCTTTTTTCTTTTCAGATTGTTCTTTTGGCTTACTAGTATTGAGAGATTTCTCTTCAAGCTCACTAATTTGGGCTTCCATAGTTTTGCATCTGCTCCTTTGCTCATTCAATGTAATGCCATTTCTAAGATCTTAGTATTTCTAAAATCTTCTAGATTTCTAAACGCAGGTTTTGCATTTCAAATTTTGCAATTATTTTGTATTTCTACTTGTTGTGTTTTTCGTAATTCTTCTAAAGTTTTTGTTGTGTTTTCTTGGCTTTTCTCGATCTTGATATCAGTGCCTTGAAGGTACCAAATTATCATTCTTTTGAATTATTTTTCAGTTAGTTCTGTTGCCTTTTCTTCCTCATTTAATTCTATTACTTTTTCTTTCTCAGAAATGTCTTCTGGTTCTGCATCTTGGTTATTTGAGCCATTCTCACTTGTTTCTTTGTGTGAGCTAAAATTAGTCTGTTTTCTCCTAGGCATTGTGAGGTTGTTACTTTGTTTGAACTGGAGGGGAGAAATTGCTGGGAGGCTCCTGCAATTTGAGCAGTTCGCAAGATGGTTGTGGAAGGGATGTGACAACAGATGGAGTTCCTGTTGGCCTTGGTGTTACCTGTTTTCAGGGTACTCAATGTGGAAGTAGTTTGTGAGGGCCCTTGATGGAGCTGGTTTCAGTGTCTGTCAGGACCACAGGGTAACTGGGGGCAGGGTAACTGGTTCAATACTGGTCTGGTGTCTCTGCGGGTCTTGTAGATCTGGTGCTGAGCCCACCTGAATCCAGGTGCCAAAGTGGCACATCACGTCAAATTGTCGCAGCTAGCACCCATCTCATGCTGGCATGATTCCTAGAGAGCAGGGTCTGCACATGGTGGTAGCTGCCCATACTTTTGGCCACTAGGGGAGCATGGGAAAAAAGAAGAAATCACACTTTTTCCATCCCCTTTGCGAATCTGCTTTGCCAGGCCTCCCTTCCTTGCCAAAGCTACTCACACAATGGTTGAGCTACCCTACAACCATCAGTCTCCCTCTCTCGCCATCTCTGTTCCACCTTTCCTCCCAGCAACCTCTCTAACCTTTCTGTTGAAGTTCCAGGTGCCAGAATTTTCATCTATGTCCGTTTTATTTTCTCTCTTACGTATTTGTTGTAGAGGGGCCATGTAATGCATTTGCCTTACCTATCGTCCTGCCAGAAGTCCTATTTCCTGTTTTTTAAATGAAAACAAACAAAAAAATATAGCTGATGTTTATAAATTAACATTGTTATTCTGCATATCTTTATATTAGTGAAATGTGCCCTTAATATATACTATGTTGTTGTTGTTAAGTGATTTCAAGTTGATTCTGATTCATAGCAACTCTTTATAGGATTTTCAGGGAACGGCTGGTGGGTTTGAATAGCCAACGGTGCTTATCCTATAGCACCACACCAGGACTCCAGCATATAGTATAATCATTGAAAATAGATAATAAAAATCACTTACCTTTGACTATTAACTGTAGAGGAAGATTTTACCTTCAGCTCTCACAGTGTTTTGTATCATATGAAGATATAATTAGTGTAAACAAACATTATAAAGAAAATATTTCAGTATCTCTTTATCTTTGTAAAGCTATATGTGTAAACTTATTTCATGTTAGGTTATTAGCTCTATGAACTTTTATTTTTTTAAGGTTCTTCATAGTAATTCTTAGAAATATTTTTGACTTGACAAAATCAAACTTATCTTGAAGTTGTAAGTAGATAACCTCAGCTTCATGTCATGTTAATGTAAACACAATTGTTAGAATTCCTGCTGGTCTTCAGAGAAAGAACTGTCTATGGTAATAGAGTTTGTAAGTGAAGTGACTGTCACCTCTGATATATTAATAACTGAGATTTTATGTACAGTACAATAAAAGGAATATAATGAGAACTGGACTTAAGAGATGTATAACAGTCAATATGTGTGGGACTAAGTCAATTTTCAAGAAAGAAAATAATTTTCTAACTTATTAAAATTTTTTTACAGTTGCTGTAATGTTCAACTTCCCAGATCCTGCAACAGTAAAGAAAGTGGTTAACTATTTACCTCGTGTTGGTATTGGAACCAGTTTTGGTTTGCCTCAAACCAGGTATTGTATTATATGACAAAAATTTAGAAAATAATCTGCATGAATAGCTTTTCTCTTATTTTGATTTGAAAGACGTCTTTTGTTTTCTATAATAAGTCCTAATTATTATAAGTGTATTGTTTTCTTTTCAGTCATTGCTTCACAATACTCCCAAGTTTTTCTAGCAACAGTCAGTGTCCAGCACTGAGTATGTATTCAATAAATAATCTTTAAATAAGTTTCCCTGGCCCCTTCCCCTACCAAGATAGAAGTACTTTACAAAATGCATTTTGAATCCCTTCAATGGAAGATTTTAATTTTGAGATTTTAGGAAAGCTGTATGTAGAGAAATATGCTATCTACATTTTGATAGATAGATAGATCTACATCTGTCTATGCAGGCTAGATCCTACATCTATCTATGTAGATCTATCTATCTATCTAAATCTATATCTTTCTATCTTACATTCATTTTATGAAAGGTTTTTTTAAAAAATGGTGTGGAGTTAGAACCTGGCCTCCTCTTACTTCACCAGGGGGAATGAAAAAGTCCTCATCAGTCCAGGGGCAGTTCTTACATCATACATGCTTTCATGCTCCAACCTTCTTTATCCTATTCTGACTGCAAGTGTTTCTCCCATGGCACTCTATTCTCTGTTGAGTTAGCTAATACACAGCATGGCCATACAGAACTCACAGAGAATAATCATGATTATGGAGTTTATTAGGAAAGGAACAGAGTACAATTCAGGACCATACATAACTCAGTTTACAACAGTTCTCCAGTCAGGATTTCTGATTCTCGGCTGTACTTCAGGCATGCCTCTCTCTCATCCACTGGGCAAGTGTTTGAAAGTTCCTTCACACTCTTGATAATTCCCAAAGAGCACCCCATTCTTTTTTTTCTTTATAAAGCTTTTATTGTGAAGTGAGTAAAGGTTTACAGGGCTGACCATCAGTTTTACATTCAACAAATCATTGCAATGCTTACAATGCCCTCCATGCACCATCAGCTAACAGTATTTACCTCTATTAACTTTTTGTTTTGTTTTGATGTTCACATACCACATTGAAAATATGGACTCGTTTAAATGTCCAAAGGTCGCCTTTTGCAAACCATTCTTCTACCAGCAGACACACTGCCTTTATCAGTCCATGGGCCTATAGTCCTCTGCTGCTCTATGTCTCTATGCCATTGCCTCTGCCACCATCTCTGTTGTTGCCACTTTTCCGTTTAGGATCCTACACTCCACTCATACTCTTCTGTCTTGATGGTCCTAGGGTCCTCTGTTCCTGAAATGAGAGGTTAACAGCTCCTGCTTTTAGTTACACCTCTTCTACATTTACAGTTGTGACAGTCGCCATTAGACCTGATTACAATTACTCACAACTGAATCATAAAATCCTATCCCCTTCATCACCAGGCCCATTTGGATAAGAGGAAAACTATTCAGTGGGGATTCTATCTTATTCCCCTTGACACTAAGCACCCTCATGAAAGCTTGTAAGTCAGCTACTTCATGCCTTTTGAACCCCCCATTTTTAATAGCTGAAGTCTAGGCTGCGCATCCCTATCAACCCCGTGTATTGAGGAGACATGCTTTTTCCTTGATATGAAGAACATTTCTATTTCGGGTGGAATTTTGGGCAGTTTCATCCATAAACAAATGTCCAGTTCATCAAGTTATAGCACTTTATGCTTGCTTCCTGTATCAAGCTTCCTTATCGTCTTCTGATCGAGTTCTGGTCAGCAAGAAACCCAATCTAGGTCAAATGTGTACTGTCTGCAAGTTTGGGAGTTTTGCCACACCATCCCCTACTTCAGACCAGCTGGCCACTTCACTCTTAACTCTAACCCCAAGTGGCTAGGTAGTGTCCTTGGGCTTGAGAGTTCATATATGTCCCTGAACTTCAGATCAGCCATCTCTTTCTCTTCTCTTTCTCATCTCAAAGTCATCGGGTGTCTGTGGAGCATGGCCAAAATCAGCCCATGTCTTCATTACTGCATTTCCCTCACTTCCACCCACCAGTAGACCAGGGTGGTCACCAGTGTGCATACAAGACTGCTTGTGGGTCATCCCATTTTTCAGGTTTACTAGTTCCTGGTCCAGGGAGCCTACTGGTCTATTTTACACTTTTTATGTATGCTTACCTCAGTCATCACTGCTTCTCCTCTACGTGATCTTAGAGCCCAATAGATGCACTCCACTCATGGCTCTTCCTTTTTATTAGTCGTGAGCTCCCCAGTTCCTGCATCTGAGATGGCTTATTTATGTCTAGTGGGTTGACAAAACTGACTAATTCCCACATTATTGTCCATACACTGTTATGTACATTGTTTCATCCAGTCCTTAGCTGGAGGTTACCAAGACTATGGCTAGAAGAGCCATTCCAAGTAACTCTACTGCACTACAGGTTTGTTTATGCTGTTGTTAATTTAGCATTAAAAATATATATATATATGTGTGTTACATTATAATGCTACTACATGATCACAAATGTTCAAAATGTAAAAAGAAAAAGAGAGATACAAGATTTAGAGGAACTAGAATTCTCACACACTGCTGGTGGGAATGTAAATTGTTACAACCACTTGGAAAAATCTGTGGAAATACTAAATATTTTTGAACATATGTGTGGCCTATGATCCAGCAATATTATGTCTTGAAATAAGACCAACAGAAAAACATACATCTGTTAACCAAAAAGCTTGTACAAGGGTGTTCCTATTAGCATTATTTGTTATACTCTTTTTTTTTTTCATGTTTTATTGTGAATGATATGATATTTTACATGAGAGAACTTTAGTTTTACATTCGTTCTACCATATATTGTTTCATTGCCATGGTTCCAATCCCCTCCATGCATCATCAACCTACCAAAGGGTATACCCTATAAACCCACCCACTACACTCCCCCTTCCCCCCTCCTCCCCCATTCTTCAGCACACAGTCCCTCTCCCTCTCTGGATCCAAAGCCCCCAGCCGCTTCATCACTCCACATCATTGTCTCTGCCTCTATCTCGGGCCTCGCTGCTTCTCTGGGTAGGGTCCTGCTCTCAGCTCTTCTCCATTGATGGTCCTAGAGACCTCTGCTCCTAGACTGGAGAGTTAATCACTCCCTTCCTTGCTACAAAACGTCTACCTTTACATTTCCAACCCTCACAATCAGTCCTGATAACAATTCACTATTGTATCACAAGTGACCCTTCTGCATTTCATTTCATCAGCTCTGCCTAGACAGATTGGATAGTACTCACTGGAGATTCTGCCTTCCTCCATGCCCACTAGCTCTAGGTTCCGTCTTGAAAGCTTGTAAGCCAGTCACTTCTTGCCTTTGTAGACCCCACCCCCACCCCCCATTTTGGATATCCAATGTCCAAGTTGCCCATCTCTGTCTACTCTGTGTGTGGAGGGGGTGGGAATGTTTCTTGCTGTAAGGATTGTTGGGTCACTGCATCCATAGGTGTAGGTCAAATTCATCAAATTATATCAGATTACTCTTTTTTTTTTCCTCTTCTTTCTTCTCCTGGTTGAGCTCTGATCATCCATTCATCAGAGCCAGGTCACATGGGTACCATCAGTAAGTGTGGGTGTTCTTGTGCATATGCCCTCTCTTCCTATCAGCTGGTAGCTTCACTCTCCACTCTAGTCCTCTGTGGCCACGCCGCTGACTCTGGGCCCAGGAGTCCCCAGGTCTCCCCACACTGCTGGCCAACCAGGTCCCCATCTGGGTCCACTCATTATACTCTTAAACTGGAAAGTCAACTAGCAGAAGAATGGATAAATATATTAAGGTATAACCATATAATTGAATATACAACAATGAAAATAAATGGACTATCATACTACATATAGCAGCATGCATAAATTAATGGAAAGAAGCCAGGCACAAATTACACTACATAACATTCAAAAACAAGTTAAAACTAATTCATGGTGTTAGATGTCAAGCTTCCTTTAGTAAATTGTTTTTGGGTGAGGTTTCTAGGATGCTGGTAATTGTCTTTTTCTTGCATGAGATGAGGGCTAGAAAGTTGTATTTATTTTGAAAAAGTTTATTGAGCTGAACCACATTCATTTTTGAATGTTTTTGTTACATTGAAATAAAACCTAAAGCAAACAACAAACAAGAAAAATTCTACTACACAGAAAAAATCCATTTTTATTTGTTTGCTATATCAAAAACACTGACATTAAAAACAAAAATCCTTTTTACAAATATAGTTAGGATCATATGCATCCATAGTTTTGGGTTCTATCATTTGTACTTAGTAGACCCTTGATTATTTTATAAGATCACAAAGATGATTTTAAACTGTTTTTGTTGTTGTTATGAATACTCTGCAATGAAAATACAACAGAATTTAGTAATTTCCCACATTTGATATTTACTTGTTATAAAAAATATTTTCCATTATTAAAAAAAAATGGTGAGGTAAACATTAGTTTACCTCATATGTATCTTAATCTTTTTTAATTTCAAGTGTATGATCAATGTTATATTCATAAAATAACATACTGACAAAATATTTGTTGCCTTAAAATGACAATTCAAAGAAAGGAAAAGTTAAAAACTATATAATATGTTACCTACATGAAACCTACCTTAAATATAAAGGTGTACAATCTTTAAATCTAATAAGATGGGAAAAGATATGCTAGATGCTTTCATTGAGGGTGTATATACAGCATGAGAAACTCTAGTACCATGCTGATAGGAAAGCAAATAGCATAGTTGCCTTAGAAAACAATATCCAGTTTCTGGAAAGCTAAATGTGCCCTGAATGTCCATCTAGCATTCCCACTCTTAGGTATTTACTAAGAATAATGAAAACATTTGTATACATTTGCATACATCTGTAATGAAACATTAATGTTTTATTAATTTTTACCCCACTACCATAGAGTCAGTTCTTACTAATAGTGACCTTACATAGAGATTCAGAAGCTGTGAATCTTTACACAGACTGCCTCACCTTTCTCCTGTAGATCCGTTGATGGGTTTGAACCGCCAACCTG